CCAATTGTCAGGTGTGTCGCAGCATCTGGAGGTTGAATGTACAGTAATAACACCTGTCAAGATGATGCTGTGGCTACATGTGGCAGGGCTCTTCTCTTATCAAGCCACTGTTTAAACGAAGGGAACTGACATGGGTTAGTAACAATGGTGACTGATTTAAAGATGTGTAAGTGTGCAAAGGCCTGTTTTAGTTTTAGTTATATCTTGTGAACTACTAGACAGACTTTAAATGAGTCGATTACTCATTTAATCAATACATTTTCAGTGGTCTCTAGTAGGAGTAAATGACTTGTAAATCGTTTTTGGGTAGAAAAAATATAGCTGTGCACCATTTTTCGGACGTACGAGTTGCTCACATCACAGCTGATCTTCAGACGGCAGGTTTTGGAGTCTTCTTTCCTGATATTTGGACATCTCACCCTCGATTGGATAACAACAATGTGGACCGAAAGCAACTATTGGACAATCCAATTGTCGGACTCGCTGAGCCACACTTCCCTTGGTCGCACTCACATGTTTAAAGAGTAACTAAACCCCCAAATAACTTTTTTTTGCTAATTAACTGTATAATTGGGTCTTTACAAATACAATCTTTCTGTTTGTGTGCATTTTTGACATGTTTGTGTAAACTTAATTAAATCTAGAATCTAGGTCTGAAAACGTCTTAGTGCTGCCTCCTGTGGCAGAACAGCGGCTACTGCATTTTAAACTTGTGATTGACTGGTTCTGGTAAAATGTCACGTCATCGGTACAGTCTCCTCCCACTCCCCCTCCCTTACAGGATGGAAATTCCCCACACTTGGCCATGCCACTCTGTGCCTCCTGGCAACGCCCACTTTCATGGCATTTTTCAGATCTTGACTAGAGGTGGAGTTACGTTTTCTGATGGTGTGCAGTCCCTCTTTAAGCAACAGAACACCACTGGTGTGAGAGGTTCTCCACTCAATAATATCAGAAGGAGAAACAGCTACCACTTCATCTTTAGGACAAACTTCTAGAGTCCCAAAAAGAATGACGCCATTTGAAGTCACTGACAACAAAAGTCATCTGAACCTAGAAAGCGGCAACTGGTGTTAGAGCTATCTTGTTTCATCTGGCACTGCGGATTTCTGGTTCCGGCAGAAGCGTCTCAGGGAAGATACCTGTATCATAACTGTGTTCGTGTTAAAAAAACTAGCTTGTTTGCAGATTTGCTATAACAGCTTTAAAAACGTTCTAACATAGTATAGCTGTAAACATTTAGTGGTAATAAAAAATAAAACAAAAAATCAAAAAAAGAATGAAGCGGTTCTCTTGCATTTGTCTAAAAACCTCAGCCAATAACACGGCTTGGACCGAAATCAACGATTGGACCATCCAGATGTCTGTCTCACCGAACCACAGCACTTCCACCTTTACCTGGGTCCTCCACTCATAACGTGCACCCATGCATTTTGCAACAGAACACCACTGGTGTGAGAGGTTCACCACTCAATAATATCAAAAGGAGAAACAGCTGGCTGCTACCACTTCAACTTTAGGACAAACTACCAAAAAGAAAAACGCCAGCAACAGACAACAGAAGACGATTGGACCTAGAGAATGGAGTTTAGCACTCTCTTGTTTACTGTAGTAATGCGTGGCAGACGTGGCTCAGGGGTGAAAGCTGACAGCAGCGGTGATAGACTCGTGTTCATGTTTGTATTTAAAAGCTAGCTTGTTTGCAGATTTGCTATAACAGCTTTAAAAACGTTCTAACATAGTATAGCTGTAAACATTTAGTGGTAATAAAAAATAAAACAAAAAATCAAAAAAAGAATGAAGCGGTTCTCTTGCATTTGTCTAAAAACCTCAGCCAATAACACGGCTTGGACCGAAATCAACGATTGGACCATCCAGATGTCTGTCTCACCGAACCACAGCACTTCCACCTTTACCTGGGTCCTCCACTCATAACGTGCACCCATGCATTTTGCAACAGAACACCACTGGTGTGAGAGGTTCACCACTCAATAATATCAAAAGGAGAAACAGCTGGCTGCTACCACTTCAACTTTAGGACAAACTACCAAAAAGAAAAACGCCAGCAACAGACAACAGAAGACGATTGGACCTAGAGAATGGAGTTTAGCACTCTCTTGTTTACTGTAGTAATGCGTGGCAGACGTGGCTCAGGGGTGAAAGCTGACAGCAGCGGTGATAGACTCGTGTTCATGTTTGTATTTAAAAGCTAGCTTGATTTGTAGATTTGCTATGCAGCTTTAACTGGTTCTGCACCGTCCTTTAAAATATTACCATCAACATGTGGAGTGAATCCAAATCAAGATGGCCACCATAGCTAACAGCCAACAATAGATATTGAGCTAAAGTTTGTGGTGGTACTGGCTGTCCAAATTTTTTGCATATTTTTTATTTTACAAAGTACTGCAATAGTTACTTGCCTAACACTTCACTACACATACTTCAGTGCTACACAAACCTTTTGCCTAAAGATTTGGCATTAACCATGTTTATCTGATGGCAGAATGTCTCATGAACCACTGAACAGATTGCCCTGAAACTCCCTGACAGTACATCTACAACTGACCAAGTTTTGGAGTCAGTCCCAGTCCACCATGGCTAATCAACATTAGAAAACACAAGTTAGGACAGCTGAGTCATTTAAAACACATAATTTAACACCATAATTTCTCTACACAGTAGGATCTCAATTTGAAATGAAGTTTGTAACTATCAAACAGTAGAATCTGTCAACAATCTGAAAAAAAAGGAGTAGAACGAGGAGCAGCTGCGTTGATTAACAGAAATGGAAAACAGGTGTGAGGGCAGAGGGAGCACAGAGCAAGCATGTTGTTGCAAAGGGAACTAATACAACTCAGACTAGGGCCCAATCCCAATACTTGTACTTCCACCTTTGCACCCTTCAATAGTGAGTTCTTGGCCAGGGGTGCGAGCGCATAGGGTGTCCCAAATCTCAAGTGTGGAAGATGACTACGCCCGCTTTTGCACCCCTGATCCACACTTCACCCAAGTCTGCATCAATTTAGACCCAATCTCAATACTCACACAGCAAAGTGCACTTGGAGAAAGTGTGCAGTAGGGTTCGAGTGCGTAGTACACAAGTGTGCAAATAATTGGCGAATTGAGACAGGTAGCATCATCGATCGCAACGCATGCCGGGATGCTGGTCGTAGTGAAACTTTTCTTAAAAACCTTTATTAATAACTTTAAAACAAACAACAAAGCAATTTTTTTCTAAATAAATGTTACTTCATTGCTGCTTTGTTTACAACATTCAGAGCATAGACTAATCATCCTAAAATGAACTAATTTCATTAGAAAAGACGTATTTTCAGAAAATTAACTTGAGCCTTTTCTCCCGCAGCAATGACTTGTGGGTAATTCCCTTGCCCGAGATCCGCATCGTTGCGGACTTGGATGAAGTGCAGATTAAGGGTGCAATGGGGGCGTGGTCAACTTCTGCACTTAAGAATCGGGACACACCTACGCACTTGCACCCCTGGCCGGGAATGCGCAATTGAAGGGTGCAAGTGCAAGTATTGGAATTGGGCCTTGGACTTTGGGCAAGGGTATTACCCACAACCCATTGCTGCATTGGAATTTTAAGAAGAAGGCGGAGCAATGGCCCAAGAGCTTTTTTCTGAAAATATGTATTTTCAAATGAAAAGACATTCATTACTATTATGTTTATTCATGCTCTGAATGTTTTAGATTAAGATTTAATGTGGACAGGAAATAATGTAAATTTAGTCCAAAAATTGTTTGAAAGTTGTTAATAAAGATTTAAAAAAAAATCCCGGTTAATGACGCATTGCTTCCTGTCCCCATTCAGCACACTTGTGTACTACGCACTCGAAGCCTTACGCACCTCCTCTAAGTGCACTTCACAGAAGGGCGTAGGGTGCAGTGCGAGGATTGGGATTGGGCCAATAAACAAAATCCAGAAATTAAAGAGGCCCCAAAACAGATACAACTAAACTGGAATTCCCCAAAACAAACTGACTACAAAACACCATAAAAGTGTGATTTAACCCTTGAAATGGCATTCTTGTAAAGGTCTGAAAATATGGGGCTTCAAAAATGTGTTTCTTTTTGCTACTACCAGTGTTTGTTTGTATTTAAGTACTCAAAATCATTGTCTTAATTAGTGTCCTCTGGTTTAAAAAAATGTTTGTGCAGTTGAAAAAATGGCAGAAGTGTCACAAATGTGCTTCAGTGTTTCCAAAGAAATTACAAATACAGACCTTTGTAGACCCAGATGAGCCATTATACTCAAAAAGAAATGTCTGCAGAAATATGAAAACAGAGTTTATAGAATGAGTAGAATTGAACAGAATGGAACTGGCTAATCATATTTTTGTTTTTAGTGGTGGAAAACTCTGAAAATAAAGAGGAAAAAACATCCTCTTCAGTTTGACATAAGTGACACTTCACTGGGTGGATGAGGCTGCATGAAACAGTGATGTGGCTGCTTGGGTTGTCAGCGGTCAGAACATGTTTTCATACACATTTACTGACAAGAAAAACACATATGTGACCTGAATAAATTTAACAAATGCTCTCATGAGCTGGAAGCAAACCTCACATCCACCCGTACTCAGACCCGATGAGAGGAAGAGAGTGGAAGCTTAATAACTAAGGGAGCGCGGTAAAAATGAAGTCACTTCACTGATTAATCAGGCTGATAAACAAGCAGAGCAGTCGGCACAGAGAGGAAGGGTAGATAGTGCTGCAGCTGGATGGACACAAAGACCCTGTGTCAGCTCTGCGTGTGTGTGTGTGTGTGTGTGTGTGTGTGTGTGTGTGTGTGTGTGTGTGTGTGTGAGAGAGAGAGAGAGAGAGAGAGAGAGAGAGAGAGAGAGAACTCAAAGCTTTACTGTAGCTCTGAAGCTTGTTTTTAGAGAGTTAGCATCTTTTAGGCAGACCTGACCTCTAACCTGTTCAGAGTTAATAAGTTTTCATTTAAGGACAAATAATTAGGGGCATGAAATAGTACTCACTCTAGGAAGAGGATGTCCGTGGTCATCCAGATATGTGGATTCTCCTGCAAGAACAAACACGTGTGTTAGAAAACCTTGTAATCCAATGAGACTCAGCAGAAGCAACATCTAGAATCTGGATTTGTCCACTTTTCAGCTACTAAATATGATTTATGTTTTAGAAACCCTTGAAGTTCTGACCCTAATCTGTGATATAATGTAGGCAAGACATCAGTTTTTTTTCTGTCTAGCACACTCCTTTGAGCAAATGGTATGTTTTATTGGTTGCAAGTAAACAAGAGACAACAGCACAATGTCACACTGGCCCAATAAATACATGCATGTATCTGAAAAACAGGAGAAAGCTGAGGAATGAAGAAAAGCCACATTAGTAGAGGAAATGGTGCATTAGACAGGAAATACCCAATTTGTTGCCTTCATGCATTTAAAATGTAACAAACCCAAACTTGAGGACACTACTGCTATCTCTTCATGACAGTTCTGCAGAACTGCAGACTTAGCACCAATTTCCTTTTTGTTGACTCATTCTAGGGGTTGAGGTCGCCTTTCGACCCGCTTTCCTAATCTCGACCCAAGACTCAGACGGCAACCGTTTTCTTACTTCGGAGTCATCCTATGTGTCACATTCAGGTTGTAAAGAGAAGAAGGGAACAGAAAAATAAACAAGAATGGAGAACGTGTGTGGGAAGGGGAGTTCAAATAAACTATAAAAAGAGGAAATATGACATAAGACAACAGCCTTTCCTTGTGTCTCTGAAATACAATCCAGGATGCAGATGAAAGTGAAGCAAATAAATCCACGAACTCTCACGCTGATTTATGTCCAACCAAAGCTTTCCTCTGGGCACACACATTGATGCTTTTTCAGATGCTTCAGCTGTAAATATATGATTTGTTAGAACTGTTTAGAAGTTAAAAGGCCTTGCCTGAACATGTTAGAACAAAGCTGTAGTAGCTTCCTCATTAATTCATCTGACGCTGATCTTTAAACGCTAACACAGCTGCGCTATGCTCACCCTCAGGTGTTGTTTTTGACCTAAAGTATCTCTTCATCTGCTGCTTCTGTTTTGTGGCATTACATCGTTTTCCTGAGGAATGAAGAGGGAAGCGCATGTTTGCAGCTGTCCTCTAAGGCATTTCAGGTCAAGGCAGGGTGAGGATACGGAGAGGCAGACGTCTCTGAGCCTTCCTCTGCCATCCATCACAGATACCCCCCCCCCATCCAATAACCACCAACACCGCCAGCATGACCTTCGCCCAAGCCCTCCCTTCCTCCTGTGTATGCTTCTCATTAACTTTTTGGACAGATTGGAACAAATTTCTTTTTCCTGGGCACGAGGCTTGTAAAAGTCGACAGCTCCCCCCCCCACCCCCCACCGAGAGAAAATTTTTATTAAAGAGCCACTGTACAATGTTCTGTACTCACCAACCCTATTGTCTAATGGCACTACATAAAGTATTTAACTTTTTTTAAGTAAAAATAGATTTTAAACTTTAAGCTAGAGCTTTAACATTGATCTCAGTGATTGTTCACTTAGAAATTTAACCAGTTTCATTTGTAACACTACTCTGCCGCCCTCTGCTGACCAAAAATTTCACTAGGTTTTTGTGGAGCTTCTAGGGGCCGCTCTTTACCAGTTTTATGGCAGTTAGTTGTAATGCTAGTGTCCAACAGTGTAGATCAGGGGTGGGCAATCCCAGTCCTTGAGGGCCGCTGTCCAGCAGGTTTTACTTGTTTCTCTGCTTAAACACACCTGGTTTGAATCGACTAGTGATTAACAGGCTGCTGCAGAGCCTGATGAGCTGCTGAACAGGTGATTCATCTAGGAATCAGGTGTGTTGGGGCAGGTAAACAACTAAAACCTGCTGGATAGCGGCCCTCAAGGACCAGGATTGCCCAACCCTGGTGTAGATCTTTCTACTTCATGATTTATTTTAGTATTAGTTGGCTCTTGTTAATGTTAGCTCATTGTTAGCGCTAGCTATAGCAGGGTTGTTTAAGACATTTGTTATTCCACTTTCAACCAGTAGGGTGGATAAGCAGGAAACTGCTCAATGTTACTTTAAGAAGTACCAAAAAATATCCCAAAACTTACTTGGTATCCAGCAAAGGCTTAACTTTAAACAAGATGACTAGGCTATGACCTGTTTCAGGTTCATTTGCTCTGAAAGATGAAAATGATTGGAATTCAAAAACTAGATAAACTGCAGTCTGCTTTTCGAATGGGGAGCTTTATAAAATTATTTTACTGTTGGAAACTAGCTGCTGATACAAACTTCAGAGGAAAGTAAGCCAATTTATGGTTACATCTATACTTTATAGTACAGTATTGTGCTGTTGTCTCTTGGCTTTTAAACGTTTCCCACATCACATTGGAGCTTCAGATGGCAGAATCTGGATTCTTACTTCCTGATATTTGGACGTCTTGCCCCAGATTGGATAACAGCAATGTGGACCGAACGCAACTATTGGACAATCCGGTTGTCGGACTCGCTGAGCCACACTTCCCTTGGTCCTCCATTCATTACGCACTCACGTATTTAAAGAGTAACAGCAATGCGACTCTACCACTGACTTGCAACGTTGATAGTTTATCTCCATAAATTATCTCAAACTATTTGAGACATCCTCTGCTGTTTCCTGGACGTAAAAACAACAACAGCCTTCGCCATCATGAGTCAAGATTGGTGAGTCCATGAATGCTAATCTACAGTGTGACGTAGATCTGTCAGTTTTCAAAAGCTAGAGTTATTTTCTATCAGAAGCTAATGCAGGAGATAGCTGTAGGAGACTATTTTCATGTTCAGCCTGCCTGAAAAACTCATAAATCAAACATAAAATTATTTTTTTCAGTCAACCACACCTTTAAGTAACACAGTGTCTTAATTATGTGTCACATTTTGTTTTCTTGCATTTTCTATTTCATATTTCTCACCAAACACTCACAAAGTTGTTTAATATTTCTTAAAAATTTCTCACTCCAAAAAAAAAAAACTGATGAACTGAGAAAGATGTCAGGTGAGTTGTAGACATCCAAATAAAACGGACACTTTTGAGACAACAGCTGTTTTTCAGTTATTTTAAAAGAATATTCCAACAACACAAAAGGGAACTCGTTGAAAAAGTTTTCTAATAATGTTTGTTTCCTTGGATCACAAATTCCTCGGGTCGTGAATCCTTAAAATCACAGAAACTGATTAATTCAATTGAGCACAAGGGTCAGTTTAAAGTGAAGGAAAGGCTTAGTAACAAATATAAAAGTGAACATCTATTCCTTTGTGTGTTGCAGAAAGTGTGTATCAGTCTGTGATAGACAGAGGAACTAACTTGAGTGCAGACACGCATTGGCACGTGGCTAACTAGTAAATTGGATTAACGTGTCACAAGATTCAAGGACTCACCTCCAGATAAGAGGAACTGCAAAGCAAATTTAAAGCATTAACAAAATAATGCTATAATGAGAGCAATTAGAATCTGCCGTGATTAAAGTGAGTACGCACATTAAAACCAAACATGCATGCAATTAAAACAAAATATCAGTGTGCATGATGCAAAGTGCATTACTGCTTAATATAATCTAACGCCTGCAGTTAATACTAGCACAGGATGTTGTTGCTTCTACATCAGTGTGGTTCGTACAAGAGTGCAAATACAATTTTCGTTGGACTTTACAAAAATTACCAATAATAATGAAATGCATGTGTCAAAATTAACTAATACACTTGAACAACAAAATGCAAAGTCTGAGTGTGCAGTAAAAGCGTGTTAGTTAGCTAGTTTTTAAACAATAAAGGATTTTTTTTACTAGAATATCACTCATTGCTACCAAAATGAATGTAGAATAATTTTCTAGACTTTGGAAATTTCCATTTGGTGTTCACCTGCTCATGAAATGCAACAGAAAACTTCAAGAACTTCATGTATTAAAATCATAGACCGTTTAATTTGCTTTATAAAACGGCCTAAGTACGACCTACGAAAGCACCCGTCCAATAGGCTGAGATGGGAACGGAAAGCCAAACAAGAATGGCGTTTTAGAGGAGTTGCAGAGCCTTTGCTCGGCTGCGGGACAGGATTCAAAGCAAAGGTGGAAAGTTACAGAAGTGCTGTCATGGAATGTTGTACCGGCACGTGAAACCAGATTACAGGTTCCTCGTCTTGAGGAGACTAAACTTTCTCATTTACAACATCCTGCAGATATTTCCGAATAAAAACAAAAACCATGAATTTGAGGAAGGGAGGTGCTGACTCAGGCCTCATCTTTGTATTTAAAACAATCATATGTGAATGGATCCAGTTTTCTAACCTGATCTCTGTATAAATCAAACTCAGACACATGTCTATGGTTAAGGTCTTTACAATAGTGTTTCACCACAACAGACAGAACATACACAAAGTCTTTTGGCCTCAGTTACATGCACTACATGCCTGTTTGTGTGTGTAATGTTCGTGCGTGTGTGTGTGTGTGTGTGTGTGTGGTCAGAAAAACCTTTGATTTGGTGTGTGGGAGTGGCCCTCCATTAAGACACATAGCTCAACCCATCGCCCTAATTACAGAAGAGAGTTAACACGAGGGTCAGGGGCTCCACCCCACTACGCCCTGCTCCACTTCACCCCTGAGGAGTCAGCAGTGGTCAGAAAACTCGCTGGTATAAATAAAAGCAACCATTGATATGTTTTTGCAGGTGTGCAAGCCCCAAAAACCTGGAAGGGAGGCTAATTTAGGGACTTAATGCTTCCCTAAAATTTAGGCTACTTGCATACATTGCAAGGACGTCCACACAGGCAGGCAGCTGTGTTGGGTTTGTGAACATATCATTAGTGGACACCAGTAGTTTCTGCCATGTATAGTGTAGTACAACAAGGATGCACTACTAAACTGATGACCTAGCAAAGGGGGGTCGTAAAAGTCAACTGTTTTGCAGAACAAAAAAAGCAAAGATTTATTTCTTTAGGTAATAAACTTGTGATAATCTACTATCACTGATGTCTGTCTCAAAGGGGAGGGTCAGAATATTCAAAACTTCATTTGCAATGAGATTG